ATCGCATATGTATCGATGTCAATGGCGGCGGCAGCTGCTCATTTGTACGACTTACACCTCTAATAGTTACTTTGATTTTTTAATTATACAAGATGTTTTACAAATAAAATCAAAGTAACCATACTCTATCCTTTTGATAGTGTCTGTAGTTTTATAGATATCTAAGGAAAGCGAAAGACGATGAACTTCTTTTGATCAAAATTGCGTCAGTTAAATTCAACTACAAGTCTTTCCTTCTATTATCAAAATCTAGACTTTTCATTTCAAGTTTTTAGACAACATCTTACTTGTTGATTCATTAATGATAAATAATATTGTAATTCACTATGACTAGTAATTAAAATACCTTGACCACGGGTATCATATTGTGGACGACCAGCACGACCGAGCATCTATATAAAATTCAATATAGTAGTATTAAATATCAACATAATAAAAAAAAAAAAAAAAACTTTCTTACTTGCATAACATCGAGTGCACCTAATTCTGTCCAACGACCTTTTTCGGGATTATAAACTTGTGTACCTTTAATAATAACTGTATGTGCTGGTAAATTAACACCCCAAGCAAGTGTAGCTGTTGATACAAGTACTTGTATATGTCGTTCAGCAAAAAGATCTTCAACTAATGTACGATCAGTACGATTCATACCAGCATGATGTATAGCAAATGAATATGGAAATAGATCTTTTAATTCTAAATTTTTTGTTTGTTCAGCTTCTGTACGAAGAATTTCTTGTGATGCTGAACCATCTTTAAGAAATGCTCCAATTGTATCTTTTTCTAAACAAGCATCACGTATAGCTCGTGCTGTTTTTCCTGTTTCTTTTCTTGAATGTACAAATATTAATACCTACAATATATAATAGTAAAGTCAATAACATAAAATAAAATAATCTTACTTGATTTTTTCCAGCATGTTCCATAACTTTATCATAAACAAGATCATTCATAATTTGAAAACGTTTTATTGCTTTTTTTTCTGTTATACCAATATATTGTTGTTCAAGTGGTACAGGTCTATAACTATTATCAAAATGAAATAAACCTTCACGTTTAACATTAAGAAATGTAGCTATATCTTCATAATTTGGTAATGTTGCACTTAAACCAACAAAACGAACAGCATCTTGTGTTGTTTCAATAGTACGTATTGTACGTGCAATAACAGCTTCAAGTACAGGACCACGATCATCATGTAATAAATGTACTTCATCAAGTATAATTAAACGTACTAATTGTGTATAAGAACGTTCACCACCTTTACGTGTTATAATATCCCATTTTTCTGGTGTACAAACAATTAATTGTGTTTCATTTATTTGTTCACGTGATAATTGATGATCACCAGTTAATTCAGCTACTTTTAAACCAAATGGATTTAAACGTTTAGTAAAATTACCAACAACTTCTTGTACAAGTGATCTCATTGGTGCTATATAAATCATTTTAAATTCATCAACATTTATTGTACCATCAGACATAACATGTTTACCAATTTCACGTAATATACAAAGTAATGCAACATTTGTTTTACCAGCACCCTAATATGAAATAAATAAAAGTTTTTGTATGTGTGTGTGTGTTTTTATTTTAGGAAGAATTATTTCAACTTACTGTTGGTGCACATAATAAAATATTTTCATCAGATTCTAATGCTGCTTTAACCATACGTGTTTGAATACGATTTAATACTTTATAACCATCAAATGCTGGTTGAGCATATTTAGGTAAATTTGAAATTGGATAAAGAACCTAAAATTTATTCGAAAAATTTTGTAAAAATATTAACATGAAGTTAAATATGTTCAGATTTGAATCTTGTCTGACTTATTTCATTTTTCATGTTCACGTGTAACAGCCACAAGATAAACCGAGCCTGTCGATCTCTAATTTCAATTATTTTAAGTCGAAATAGGAATACACCGAGAACAATGATCTTAGATTCATTTCGACTTTTTCAGTAAGATAAGGTCTATTTTAAGAAAATGGCTGAATTTTATAAAACATGACTATGCTTTTTCTCGAACGAAAAAAAACAAATCAAGCTCGAATACAGATTCGGTAAGTTTGTTTTTATTTTAAACAATTTCATTTAAGAAAAAGATTGAGTAAAACTATTGAAAATTTACCTCTCCTGGATCAAGTGCTGATGGTTTTAAAGCAGGTACATGTACTTCTTCATAACCTTTCTTTTGTAATCGATATGAACCATCAGGTAATCGACAACTTTTATTAGCCATATAATGACTTCCTTGTGCAAATACAAGATCTTCCAAATTAACAACATGTTGTGGATTAGCAATTGACTAAAAAAAAAAAAATATTTATTTCATTAAATATTCTTTGTTTTTTATTAATTCAATTTACTTCAGTTGTTCCACTTTCGGTTTCCATTGCATCTTGATCTCCATTTTCACCACGACTTTTTCTTGATGATACACGACGTTCACGATCATCCTATTTACAAAAAAAGTAAAAATTTTTATTCTAAGAACAAAACAAAAACTAACTTGTACAGAATCACTTCGATCAGTTTCTGATAATGCTTGTAAAATCCAAACTAAATCTGGATCATTTCTCATTTTTTCTTCAATTTTTGCTTTTTCAGATGCACTTTGTGATGAAGCAAGTAATGTACAATAAAGAACTAAAATTGAATCAATTTATTTATTTATTAATAAATTATTCATGAAAAAGAAAATACATACTCATATGTCGATGTGTTCTTAATGTTTTAATAAAATCAAATTGATCATAACCAAGTAAAAGTACAAGTTGATTTTCTAATTCTCTATCATCAGATGCTGTTTTAAGAATGTCAAGAACTTCTTGTGCTTTTAATTTAGCATCTGTTGCTTCAGCATAAACTTTACTTAAATTTCTTTGTAACCAAAATGCATCAATTGAATGTGGTTGTAATATTTTACTTGTACGAGTAAAATCATCATTTGCACTCTAGAAAAAAAAAAACATATGAATTAATAATTTACACATAAACTTAAATAGAAATCAATTCATGTTTAATATACGAATGATTTCAAGATTGAACTGAAAATTATCTATAGATAATCTAAATAAGCCAACAACGGCAACAGTTAGTAAACTATAGTTTTTAACAATCGAATGTCTTTTTGTTCGATAAGATAGCATTATATGAAATTCATCATCTTTGCAAACCATTCAAAGATGCTTCATTGTGAGAAAATGTTCATATGAGTCGTGCCTTGAATTATATTATCCGAAGTTTCTCACATATAGTATCAAACAAAAACACATTTCGAAAGTTCGCTTCTTAATTCTGGAAGCCTTTCAAAAAATAATCCAGTTCAAATATTTAAATTGTCGAGAAAGATCAAGCATACCTTCGAATATGTATCGGTTCTATCTTCTTTTAGTTCTAATCAAAAATGATACTCAATTTTGGTATCTGACTTAGGAAAACTGATTTTTGAATGTTTATTTCACATTTTTACATAGAAAGAAGCTTTGATGAGAACAATTTATGTTCTAATTTTACTGCTTCAATAAATCAAATAGCCTCATACTTTCACAATTAACTACTCTCATTAAGATTTGTTTCTATGTAAAAATTCCAAATCGAAAAATATTTTGTTTGAGGGAAAATCACAGCATTCAAAAAAATAAATTCATTGATAATTATTTACCGTTTTAGTAAAAGTTTTTTCTTGAATTGTATAATCCATTTTTGCTTCTTCACCTTCTGATAAATCGGCATCTTCATCTTCACGTACTTCATTTTCATCACCTTCATCTTCATCACCTGAATCTTCAAATTCAACATTAACACCATATGTTTCATCAATATCTTCATCTACAAAAAGAAAACACATTTATAACATTGTTTTTTTTTATTCTTTTCCTATGAATTTACCTTCTTTTCCAGTTTTATCATCTGTTGACCAATCAGTAATTTTTTTTCCAAGATTAACAAGAAATGCAAAACGTTGTTCAGGAATTTTTGTACTTAATAATGTTTCAATTTCATTTTTACGATCTTTATCACGTAATTTATCATTTTTAAGTACAATTAAAACTTCATCAGCTGCACCACATAGAATACTTCGGGCTTGATCACCAATAGCTTCTTGAATAAAACCAAGTAAAACTTCATATGTTTGTTTAGTTTCTTGAGTTTTGGGTCGATATAATATACTTGATGCATCATCAGCTGAATCACCAAGTAATGTTTGACCTTTAAATCGTTCGAGATCATATTTTGATGAATGATCTTCATCTTTTTTTTGTTTTCTATATAAATAGAATGTAAATATGAAATTAAATAAACAAATAAGATATTAAGTAATGATACAAACTTATTACTACGTTCTGGTCGAGTACGTTGTGCACGATCACCCATTTTAGTACCTTTTAAATGGCTCGAAAGAGAAAGTACTTCACCGGTCGCTTCATTACGTCCACGTCGATCAATTAAAGATTTATCAACTTGTAAAACAAGATTGGAATTCTATTTAATAAATGAACTAGTTTATTTAATTGATTAAATTAATTCTACTTACAGCTTTATATTCATATTGTGAACGACGAGCAGCTTCATCGGCCATTGTTCACTACAGAAATCTAGATGAAATAAGTAGATACGATAGTTATTTCACTGTTAAAGTGAAGTTAGATTGTGACGAAATAACACATACACAATAAACTACACAAAATAAAAGCAACAAAGACAGTAAAACTTCATTGGAGAGGTCGAGATCGATTCATCAGCTGGTAAACAATACAATGTCATAGACTAGAGACATCTACTGGAAGATCAAGAATTGAAAGTTTTTTTTTCTCATTACAGGAAAAAACTTCGTATAAAAGAAGCAACCCGATACGAGCTTCTCAAAAGAGATCCTTTTTAAAATAATATACAGTTACTCAATGATTTTAACAGCAGATTATTTCGTAACGAATTCCTTGTTTATTTCACTTAAGATGAATTTTATACTTTAATGAGAAAAAAAGGTGAACAATTATTCAATGATTAAAATAGCTGCTGCTTCTTGTGTGAAAATATTTCCTTTATTGATCTTCAGCATATTACCAGCTATTTAATTAAACTTAGACGTATTAAAAAATTATCGTAGCTACTGTAAAGATATGATAACTATTAAAAAACTACAAATTTCAATTGATTTAAATAGTTGATTCGCTTCTGTTTTCATTTAGGTCTTATTTATTTAATGTACCAACCTGTCAATCTCTTTTTTTTGATCGTATGCATGTATAAGGTTTTTTTTGCAATGGCTGACTTTTTTTTTTATCGAAACTGATTCTATTTTGGACTTTTCTATTGCAGTACCATCTATTATCTTTCTGATAAATTTTACTACTTCATACTCGAATGTCAATTATTGATTTAGTTTTTTACTCTTTTACTATTCTCATTTCATATTATTCTATTATAACCTAGGCATCATTTTAGAAACATTTATAAATTGATTGCCTTTTCGAGTCAATATAAGCAATCAATATTTAATATCAAACCCATAGATAACAATTTTAATTTGTTCATATTTATCATATATATCGTGTTTCTTGTACGGCTTCTGGTCTAATAAACATTATATAGCAATTTTACCTACCTTAGTTAAGCTATCAATTACCACATCGATCAAAATACTTCATATTGGTTGGTATAGACCATATGGTTCTGTGTAAATTTTGCTGATATTTTCAAACATCTTCACAATCTATGGAACAGACTAAAGTCGCTTAATAATTAAAGTCAAACAACTACGACAGTAATCGTGCATAGTCAAATAGAAGTCTCTCAATTGGATTTTGATTAAGTGAGGTTTTAATCGAGTGAACAGATTAAAATCGATCGACGATTAAATTCAAATAAAGATTGAAATCATCAAGAATAATCGGCGATGCAAGTTGTTTTTTCAATCGATTTAGAAATTCGAATATATTTCAATGTGATTATTTGCATGATTGCATTTAGATTGGTTCTGGTTCTAACTAGTTTATTAGTATATTTTATTATTGAATATAGAAAAGATGAGAGATAGAATATGATATCAACTATAATGACAAAAGATTGTTGAGTATAATATCGGAAAAAAACTAACAACGATTCAAATAGATGTTCATTGATGAATAATCGATCATGTTTAAACTCTAGTCTTTATCTTATTGTATAGAGCCAAGATATTACTCTCAAAGTATGGACCGTGTAGCATGCCGACGGGCGGGATACAAATAAAGCTATTCACTGAATTGATATAACCAAGTCCAGTTGCACCAATAAAATCCACTATCCAAGGGCCACTCGAGCATCCTTGTGTCATACTGCATCGTAATGCTTGTCCAACATAACCAGATGGGCCACATCTTGGTGCCGTCGTCTGGAAGGTACAACTGCTCATTGTTTCACCATTCGCTATATTACCGGGATAACCAGCTGAATAAGTCAATTGATTTCGAGGTGCATTAAACTTGATACCTTGACTACCAGTCACTTGTGCTATCTTTCGAGTATTCACAGGACTAACAACTACAAATCCAACATCATAATTAGAGTTTTTGGATGAAGCCGATGAGGGCGCATATGCATTAAGTATTGTAACATATCTTGCAGGCCATATACCGAGCGGAGCAGCGCGTTTGTTATAGGCAGGTACGAAGATCCAATTAGTGTGCCAAGTACGAGTACTATCATCGAATAAACAGTGAGCTGCTGTCGCCACAAGACTCTTCGATGGTGCCGTCACAACCGAGGCCGAACACAACATATCTATGCCCGATCGCCTGAAGAAAACTTTGCCCACCGTTTTTCTTGTCTGAGAGTTGGGGCTTATAAGTCGACTTTGGAATGTTATATTATCAGCAGCTCCGGGTTCTATGATAGTGAGTGGTCCATCGACGTTGGCTACTATTTGTGACAAACCTTTTTCAGATGCTGGAGAGAATCTAACATTCTTTTGTAGTTCTTCTATCGGTTTTGCTTTACGCATTCTCTCTGGAGTCCAATATTTAATAACTTGTTTTTCCCATTCGACGCGTGACAAGCTTTTCGATCTAAATGCATCCCAGAACAAGATTTTGGGATTAGCTTCTTCACTCTTGCAAGCCAGAATAGTCGCTAACACCACTAGTATCATTATACAAAATGGAGCAACCATGCTTGATCGAATGGATTAGTACAGATGGTCGTTGAAAGAAGATATATTCTTTGGTAGTTGATCCCGTAAGCAATAGAAAACAATGTGTTTCCTTTGCTCTACGTTAGCGTTGATATATAGCCATCATATTTGAGCATGACTAAACATCATGCTTGATTGACTTTATAATACTTACGACAATAACGAAATCGGTAGGTTTTTTCCCCACATTAAGGGCTTCATTTTACATCCGATATACAGCTTTCTCTGCTTCTCTTGTTTATCTCATTATGCATGTGATTGCATACAAAAAAAATACATCACAGGATCAAATATTACGTGATCAATAGTTTAGATAGCTTTTTATTTCGTTGACAAAGTAACAAAGTGGAAACCGAATATCACCCATTATACGCTCACTTCCTATTTGTCATGCTTGTCCATTTACGAATACACTTCAAAGTCAAGCATTTTTTTCTTTTTCTCTTATAACAACATACAAAATAACGAATAATAAAGAAAAGAGAAAGATAATATCCAAGGAAGAAGAGAAAAAAGAAAAAAAAAGACAAAATAACAATAACGCTAATTCCTTCAAAGTTTTTCTTATCAAGCAATCATATCGTGTGTGAATTTTCAGTATTGTTCGACAGGTTGAAGTCTTTGTGTGTGAAATCAGATGAGTAGATAGCATTTGTGAATAATATATCAACATTATAATCATTGTTATGTAAAAGAGATTTTTTCAATAAAAAGTTAATATTTCGTTTTGTTGTTGTTGATATCATCCATTGTATTTTGTCTACAATGTTTATAATAATCATTGTGATAGAAAAACATTGTTTTAGATGAATCAGTTTTTTTTAAATTTTTGTTAAGTATGTAGATGTAGATGCTGAATGCCGATTGTATAAGATCAAATCTTTTATTTCATATCTGTATGCAAATAGTATGTACTTACTATCGACATGTTATTGTAGAACTCTATAATAATACAAAACCAAAAGAGAAAATTATTTCATAGAAGAGAAAACAATGCAATTCCATAGAGACGATATCACGTACAAGTAGAATATGACACAAATCGATAGATGAAAAATAATATAAATTAATAAGGGCAAATTATTTCATAAAGCAAATAATCATATAAAAACAATAAGAATGATAAACTTTTCATTTTTAATTTCTAATGTAGATGTTGGGATAAAACAATATGTTTACCGATACTCAAGGTACAGATCAGGTATGAAAGATTGAGTTGTGATAAAGTATAAAATAAACTTGTGAAATTTGATCAGTTTCAATATTGATTATCTGTGAAATAAAATTATGACAATTTTTTTTTCGGATGCTAAGATAGTAATATGATGCCCCTCTTTTGGTTCAAGAAAAATACATAATATTGTTAAATGGTGCATTAAGATAGTTTTAACGGAGTTCAAGAAGGAAATGAAATATATTAACAACTTTAAGGCATAAATTACAATGCAAAGATGAAGCAAAATATTTCTAGAGATGTTCATGGCGGTGCTACTTTAACATTACAATAGATATCTGTATTCCATCCAGACACAAACGAGATTAGTTAGACAGAAAATTTATTGCTCTACAAATGAATTCGTTTTTTATTTCTTCTAAAGGCTTGTCTTTTGATAAACAATAGAATAATTTTGTTTGATTATTTAAATCAAACGAGATCACAAATGAGTTTATGCTGAATTTTTTTCATTTGATTTTGTTTTGTTTTTGCTGTTAATAATGAATCATGCCTACATAGGGGTACCATAATTGGTATAAAATCACCGATTACACTAGTATTCGAAGGAAATTGATATCCAAGATATTCAATGTATGAGTGTATGAAAGTTTGACAATTTGGAATAGTTTGATCACTGCATATCTTTATTAATTCAAAAATTAAAATTTAACCAACTTTTTAAACTAATCAATAATGATCTTATGTATGATATTTCAATTGTGAATTAATATACGTTATATGATCTGTTGGATGACAAACAAAAAGATTATAATATGCAAAAATAAATTGATTTGCCGTTTATGAACTCATAAAAGCATTATTTTAAATTGTGTTACATCGATGAAAACTGTTAAATGACATTTTTTTAAAAATTTTACTTTCTGTTACTTCAATGTCATTTTCTTCTTTTTCAGTTTCTCGTTTATGCATTAGGAAATAAACAGACCCAGCTTCGTGCAAATTAACTATCTTAATTGAACAAGTCATTGAAGATGGATTTGAATTTTCTTCATTAGGTTCAATGCCCAAAAATTATTATAAATGACAAACAATAATAAGTTCAATTAATTTTATATCTATAAAAAGAAAAAAATATTTGTATTACGCTTTGAGTACAGTTTTATTATCTAAGCTGACGCTTTTCTTAATAAATAATATTTAGACTTAGCGAATTAACAATATGTACAAGTTAAATTGAATGTCCACAATTATTGGTGATACGAGTTCAAGAATGCGAATGGAAAATCATAGCAATGTATGCTTTTCACTTCATTCAAGCATGGCATGTACTCTTTTTATTCTGTTTATGGTTTTCTTGGATTGCAATGAAGGTTAATTGAACTTGTTTTTTTGCAACAAACGTGAATGTATTTGCTATGTTGAATTTGATTTGATGATGATATACGAACTATTAACTAATTGATCATTAAATCTCCCTAGTATTATAAGGTAGGATTCATTTTCTGATCAGTATAATGCACTACGATTCATACCAAACATCGGCACATTGTGTTTGTGAATAGAAAAGAAACGCTCATAAAACATCATTAAATTATTCAAACAATGGTTTATAACTAATGATAACTAATGATATAGCGAATAAATATAACGTAGTGTATTTCAAATGAGGTCTCTATGAACTTTTCTTGACATAGCTACTCTTCGAAGAAAAAGAAGAAACATATATCGTAGTTGTCTTTGGATATTTTTCTGTCATACTAGATGTCATAAGATATCATGAAATGTAAAAAGAAGCTCCACAATATAATTTAATTACTATGTTCTCGAAGTGGAACTGTTGAACATTGGATGCATTACCTGAAGTACAATAATTAGGTAATGCATGAATTTATTGCAAGGAAATAAGAAAATACTCTTTTAAGATGAACTGACTGAATTCAAAAGAGAACTTATAATTATTCTCGGCGAACGAAGGTCTAGTAGGCAATAGTATAGTAAATAATTTATTTATGAGCAATGATATAAAACAACAAATAGCAAAGCTATAAACCACACTTGAAACGCATAAAACAAATTGTATTAGGATTATCCTTGTTCGAAATCCATGATGCCACTTCTTCGTAAGTCACTTGTTTAATATCAACCTATGATTACACACATCGAACATAATTGTGTTTAAAAAATCTCAGTGTTCGAATGGTTGATCATGGATAAATATAGATTTAATAGCGTACCCGAGAACGTGTTGTATTTCTTCAATTAATATTGAATTCGTTTCATTATGAATCGACAGTATCTTTTGTTGTGCAACGTTATCTTGTCCTTGAGAAGTTTCTCGCATATAATATTTTCTTTCCTTTGCTTTCTAAATATACGATGATGTCGATGTTGAAAAGCTACATAATCCGAAGATCTGACTTTTATGAAAAATTAGAGTCAAAAATGGTCCATTTGGTTAACAAAGGGTCTAAGAAAGATTTTGATTGTGAAAAAATTATGAAAAAGACTTTTTGAACTCTTATTTCCTATAGTAGTTGTCGAAATACTACTGTTATCCCATTTGATAATAATTAGTATTACAATACATATGTGTATAATTTAGTCCATATGTTCATTTGATCTCACATCTATTACAACATGGAATAATATTTTAACGAGAATGAGTGAGTACATAGTCTATTACTAGAATGGTCTTTGCTTTCAAGACGATTAGTTGAAGTAAGACACGAATTTTTTCGAAATTCAAATATTTCTTAGTCTTTTGATATGTGAAAAGACTGAAAAATTCAGGGTACTTGAGTAGAAAAATACATTTCGAGAAAATCATGAAATGAGTTCAGACGTTGAAAAATCAAGTTTTTATTTTCTTTAAGATTTTAAAATAAAGTTCATTCCCACAAAGTGTTCGCCATTTGTGTGATATGTATTTTTTGTCTTATACTAGTCATATTCTTTATATAACAAATCTATATTGAAGGTCAAAAACTTTTAATGACTGAGGTTTGCAAACTGTTTTTCTGATTATGAATGTTTTGAGGAAAATTTTGTGAAACTTGCAGATAACATAACAAAAGTATTTCGGATAAAATTAAAACTTTTTACAAAGTAGAAGGCTTAGTTAGTCGTTCATTTTGTTGAATTATTCTTATAAAAAGTTAACATTCATACAAACATGGTTACAAGTGTTGATCAGTACTTGGTTAAATGCTACTGCATCAACCAGAAGCTATTAAATACAAGTCATTTATCATTCTCTTTTTTCTGTTCAAAATCAAGACAATGATTCATTATCTGTGTTTTATACGTGCAATAAATATTGAGCTGTTACATGCAAGTCATTATTGGAATAACATCAGTAAAATCTTACAAATCTTCGGTAAAGACATTTGTATTGCTTATGTATGTGTTTGAC